CCCGGCTTTAAAAAAAGAGAAAATAGAAGGCGATGTGAAGGCGATGTGTGCAAATGCTGTGGCGAAGTGAGCGGTGTACGTGTGGCGGTGTGTAGGTGAGCGGTGTGCAAATGCTGTGGCGCGGTGTAGGTGAGCGGTGTAAGTGTAGTGGTGTGTGCAATGTATGTGGTGCGATGTGTGCAAATGCTGTGGCGCAGTGTAGGTGAGCGGTGTAAGTGTAGGGCGATGTGTGCAAATGCTGAGGCGCAGTGTAGGTCAGCGGTGTAAGTGTAGTGGTGTAAGTGCAGTGGTGTGTGCAAGGCAGACGCTTTTTGACGAGGAACCCTTCGCAGAGCTTTCGGCAAAAAACCGCCGCACGTGGCTTGAACGCGTTTTGATCTTTGGAGAGCATGCACAAGCGTGGAGGCGATGAAATCAGAAACGGAAAACCGGCAAAAAGAACATGAGGCAAAGCTCGGAAAGAACGTTCTTGCAAATATGAAAGAACATCACGAGAAAAAGTTGCAGAAACTGTGGTTTCGCGCGCGCGTGCGCGCACGTGAAAAATTCCGGAAAACGAGCTATTCCGAGCAAACGATAAACATAATCTGGGATTTATACTACTACTCCTACTGCTGCTGCTGCTCCCACTGCTACTGCTACTGCTACTGTTGCTGCTGCTGCTACTGCTGCTGCTGCTACTACTACTACTACTGCTGCTACTACTACTACTACTACTACCACCACCACCACTATTACTACCACCGCTACCACCACTACTGCTATGGCGCCGGCTCCGACGACCACGACTGCATTTGGGGGATAACGACTGACGATAGCAGAACAATACCTGTAAGGGTGAATAACCACCACCAGAATTTGTGACCATGTCTTCAAATCTCCCATGCTCTGCTGAAGCCATCTCAAATTTTCAAAGTAGATGCACATGTGAGCCGTTTGTGTAGCTCTCTATACTGCACTGAATACTTCGATGTGTAACACAATGCCACGTGTTTTGTGGATACGACGTAGGTCAATGTGCAGTTCGACAGCCTGCCGCTGCACATCGCCTGCCAGGCGCTCAAATCTTGCAGACATCGCTGCCTGGCATTGCAGCAAAGATTTTAGTCGCGAGGGAGTTTGACAACTTGTCAAATTGGTTTAGGCATTTGCAAGCCCAGTATCTCCTGCTGGGCAGGAATAGATATAACAAAAACCAGCATTAAAACAACAACGGCTTGTCAGCTATGTCTGGGCAGACGCTCGAACGTCGGAACATCAACACGCAAGGAGGCCTCTTGCTCTGAGAGGGCGAGGCCTCAGCGAAAGACTTAGCTCAACAAGCCGGTATCAGTTAACATATTACGGTTCAAGGCAAGCCTATAGCTTGAGCAACACGTCAAGCCGCTGTCGGACACTGACACAAGCTGACGCGAGTGCAGCTTTTGGTCTCTCCTTCAGGAACTGCGCAAAGAATCCTCGCATCCGAGTCACACTCCAAGACCGGCAGCTGCAAGCCGCAGGCCCCGTGACGGAAGCCGCAGAGGATGTGCACAACTTGACAGATTCATCTTGATACGGGGCTATGCATGGGCTGCGCTTTGCGCTTCTCCCCATGCTCGCCGTGAACAGGCTCAAAGAATTAGTTGCCGGACCAAGGGCGTCTAGTCTCTAGGGATTCAGCAGAAGCCCCTCTGGGGCTGCCAAAGACAGTACTTCAGAAAGAAACTGAAAGTGGAAAAGAAAGGCCGCCCGGTCGGCTTGGACTAGAAAATACGAGCAAAACATGGAAAAATCAAAGAAGCGCATCGCCTTGAAGGGCCTTGCACGTAGAACCTAAGCAAGTTTCACCACATACTCGGACTTCACAACGTAGTCAGAGGACACCAGCTTGCGCGACCCATGGGGATACAGGTCAGCCTGCAAGTCATGAGCGTTTGGCCCGTTAGGCTAGCAAGCGGGGTCACCTCCCTGAGGCTTCGTATCTCTAACTTAAGCTATGCCCCTGACTAACACAGCAGCCTTTAGATGCTTTTTAGCTCATCTTCGATTTTCTTCGCTGCGCCGAGATACTGCCAGGGAATCCCTAAAGAGCATGAGAGGCTAGCGGCATTAGATCATATTGTCTACATGGCTATACGTGCCTCCATGTTGTACGTCTCCTTCATCTGCTTGCACAAGTTGTCAAATGACTCGGGGGAGACCTGTTTCCGTAACGAATCGACATGAAGCTGAGACGCCAAGATGCACCTCTCAAGAAGGTCGAGACATGCTGCTATTCGTATGGAAGACCCCAGGGTACATGGGCCTCAACACCCAAAGAACCGTCTAGCATCGCCCAACCCTATAAGATCCTACCAGTGCTGATGGATCTCTGCCCAACACTACTTCTACGAGTAGCATCTTGTTTGTAGCTGGGTAAGCTGCAGACCTGGTGGCAATCCTTGTCCACGTGCCAAGAGATCGAGTATGGCGAGCAAACGCTGTTGTCGTGCGACTGCCCGGTGGTAGACCTCACAGCATGCGGCAGGACCTCTCGCTAAAAAGTCTTGGAAGGACACACATCGAAGTCGCAATGCAAACGCAGCGACCCAGGGTACATCACTGAGTTCTCATGTCCGACCACGGTCCATCCGTGCAGCATGTCGTTCACCGTGGGGCCTCCCTGCACGATCTGGAAGATTTGGCCCTGAACCACAACCATGGGGTTCAAAAGGCCGCGTCCGTTTGCCGCGCCTGCCAAACAAAGCCAAGCAGAACGGTAGCTTCCTTTAAGCTTGTTACTTATTTGTAGGGTTTTATCTCCTGCGTCCCACGTTTGAAAACGTTGCCATCATCCACTGCCTCCCAGGCCGTCCGCCAGCAGGTCCGCGTTGATGGCATCCGTGGGATCAACGTCCGTTCCCGCGGAGGAATGCACATAGTGGATTTCGTAGGATTTACCCACCTGAGCCCAAACACAAACAACAGTTTGCATAAACGTCACACCCCAAAGCCACATAAGGAAAGCCGATAGTAGGCCCCCCCTCAATTCCTTGTTTCAAGTGCCATTCTCGACTGTCTCCGAAAGATCCTAAAACTGGCAGCGGACCTGCACATCTCCCTTGCAGTACTGAAAGGTGTACGGCGCCATCTGAGCGTCAGTCAGGTTCTCGGTGGCGCACATGAAGCCAGGACGAGGGTTTTCGGCAAGGCGGCGCCCGGAGGATGCGGCATCATAGGCGTCGGCATCGCTGGAGTTCATGTAGGACTCTGACTTGTGCTCAGCTCCCAGGTGAAAGTGCACGTTCACCAGCGGGAGGAAGTTGGCCTGGGCGTCGTTGAGGGTCGCTGCCTTGGGGGTCATCATGCCGGTCGCGCCCGGAGTCAGGTCACGAGGCGTCTGAGGCTCCGCTTTGCTGCAAGCCGGCTTCGCGAAGCTGTAAGGGCAGCCAGGCGGGGTGGCAGAAAGCGCCTGGGTGGGCGCTCCGCAGCACTGCTCTTGTAGAAAGCCTTCACATCACCGTGGCGGCATCAGCACCAAGCATCCCAAACACCAGTGCCACGGCGATGGTGGCACCAAGCTTCGGGCGTGCCGACACCAAGGGCAGCAACAGTCCCATCCAAGCTGAGTTGCGAGATCCGGCACCTGTTACTTCTCCGAGTGTCTCGCACAAGTCCACCTCGGCGTCGTCCGGGCACTGGTCTGCTACAGCAGCAGTCAGGCAAGCGCACAACGCGAGAACTCGAAGCATGGCGAGCAGTCGGTATATAGCTCGTGCGAGGCGTGCGTCCTTTGATGCTGCAAATGCTGCCAAACATGAACTACTGCACTGGATGTGGAACTGGATAGAACCATGATACATGCAACCATATATGCAGATTCCTTTATAATCCTCGTAAATGCATCGAACTCTGAGCTTCCGGACGTAGTGCCTTCACCTCAGAGCGAGGCTCTGCTATAGCGGTCGTCAAGGCCTCGCTCGCAACCTCGAAGGTCAGGACTTCCGAATGGTTAACAGCTATAAAGCAATAATAGGCATAATGGGAATACTGACAGACATAGTAATAGTAATTGTACTAGTAATTAATACTAACAGAAATAACCATAGTAGAAGTCAGAGGAAAAGAATTCGCAAGACTTACATATGCATTGAAGTTTGAAGGACATTCCAAAATGGCTGTGGCAGCTCCTACGAGACTGTCGCTAGAGGCCGTCCAAGGCCTGGTGAACAAACTGGCAATCTTCTGCGTGCCTGCTTGTGATACTGGAAGGCCTGCGCCCACCTCGGCAGCGCATTTAGTCTAAGCGGTCTGTACGCGATGTAAGGCATGCAGTTCGGCTTGGTTGCTGTGGGGGTCAGGTGATGAGACTGAGCTGCTTCAAGACGCTTTGCACTCACTCGTTATCTCAGCATTGCTCATACTGACGGCTGTGGCCGCCTTTCCTTCATTGCAGCCTGGTGGTTGCTTTCCCCCCACACACAGTTCGTAATCCTAGCTGTGAACGCAACGTACGACAGCTGACAGCAGCTACCAACATTCCGGTATACTTGCACTCCTTCAAGGTGGGACATGATTTGACACCATTTCTGCACACCCTGAGATCGTCAGAGTCCTCAAGTGAGCCATAGTCTGAACTCCTAGTATCCCCTTGAATAACCCCAAAATAAAACCCTAGAATAAACACCTATATAACACCCTTTGAAAGGGTTTAAACTCTAGTACAAATGACAGTCCAGGCTAGCCTTGACCTTGCTCAGCTTGGCAAAACAGGGGGGCCTTCATGGACCTTCGGGACAGGAAGAAGTTAGAGTGGGATGATACGGAGCCCTACTATGTATGCTATAGGGATTACCTTGACAAACTTTTGCATACCACCCGAGAGACTAAACCCCTATGTGCTAGGCCAGCCGTCTCTTGCTGTCCCGGGCACTTGTCAGCCTGCATCTGCGCCTCTTCTCCAACCAACCGGCGACACGCCTGCGCGAATCTTACAGTTATAGGTGCAAGTACTATCATGACTTGCGCAATCGCAAGATGATCCCAAGAATCTGCCCAGACTTCAGATATCTGCGTTTTGTTTGAGGGCTCTGCCTTGGCAACAGCAGGATCTGACCAAACGTTTTTTGGGACCAGCAGACTCGTCGGCTCTCTAAGGCAGCAATGTCCCCTTCAATCAGGGCCACTGGGGTATTTTATGGGTTACAGTATATTGCGGTTATATAGGTGATAATGGAAAAACATGGAAACTATGATTTATATTAGGGTTCTATTGGTTTAGTGTAGCAGGCCCAAATATTTATTCAGTTCCTAAATTCCTTGAAAAGCTCTGGTTTGGGGTACCTCAAAACAACCTCACACAAATGATATAGATGATTATTTCGACCCCTATCGTACGCCCCCATTCCCAGCTGCTATTGTTACTATGCTGTTGCTATTGCACGTGCTATTACACTCCTGGAAACTAACATGGAAACCCAAAAGGGGCCCTATAAAGACTACAGTCCCTCTAAAATGGGGCTATATGGATTTCCATGTTAGTTTGGGGGAGTGTACTATTGTCATTATCTGCATCTGCTTGGGCTGCCTGCTCAACCTCCGGCGCCAAATCCTGCGCAGCTCCCGCGACGCGCGCTACCTCGTTTCGCACCTTGCGATTCGCAGGTGGTGGGAGGGCCTTGAACCCTAAACCCTAAACCCATGAACCCTAAAGGCCTATAGACCTAAATCGTAACACCCCGAAAGACCTAAACTTGCTGGTAGCTAGGAGGGAATAACGAATGTACTATGTAGGAATTATATGGGGGTTGCGTTCCCCTATTCCGAACTAATCACCTGTAAGTAGACCCTTCTAAAGATCTAAGCCCTGAATAGCCCTGAAACCCTAGACCCTAAACCTAAACCCTAAAAGCCTAAAGATCAGGGTTGAGCTTTGAGAGTCTGAAAGTGAGGCCATGTAGATCTGCCTTGTTCTGCACCTGTTCATGTTAGAGGCTCCCTGTTTAAGGGTTTCGGATTTAGGGATTGTACAGTAATCTTTGCTATATATAGGGATTATATTTAAGGCTTAGGGTTTAGGCTTGAGGGATATTACCCCCAATGATGGAGAATCGATTTGAAAAGAACATGGAAGTAAAATGGAAACTTGGATTATGTTGTGGTTTATGGGGGTTAGGGCTTCCCAAAATTAGGGTACTTCGTACCTAGAGTAACGCTATAATATACGAGTCTACTTGGAGATCCCTGCATTTACTTTCCCCTAAGCCTGATATACCCCATATACCCTTACATATGGGTAATTCTCAAAATTACGGGCCCCTTTTGGTTACAGGTTATATTACGGCACCTAATATTTGGGGGTGCCAAAATGGGACCCTAATTTTGGGAACTACCCATATGACCCCGTATGCAATGTAGCCCCTTACATCACCCCTACATAAACCGTTTGCAAACCAATGAAGAGGGAAGAGAAACAAAGGATTGTAGCTTGATGGGGCCGCGGTGTAGGGTTTAGGATTTAGGGCTTAAGGTTCAAGGTAATATAAGGGGAACCTCACAAGAACATAGTAGGAATATAATAGGAATATAAGGACCCTGGTATATTCCACTACATACTCCTACTATAGTAGGGTTTAGGATTTAGGGCTTCGGATGGGACAGCAAGTCTCTGCCTGGAGATCCGGCGCTTTTTTTTTACTAGAGATTTCCCCCAATTAGGGGTACCATGTTGGGGTTCTTTGTAGTAAGCTTATGGTATTTTTGGGTCTATATTGGGGTCCAATATGTTGGCAAACTCCCAAGTTCTACACCTCACACCTCTGCGGCGGGCGCTACTGCCTTCAGCACTCAGAATAATGGTGATAAAGCATCACTGTAATTATGCTGGTCACTGTCATTATAGACAGTACGTGGACCATATGAGAGACAAATACTCCCCAGGCTGTAGTAGGGGTTTGACAACGCTAGTGGAAAGAACTATGTTGTTACTTCTCGGACGCTTCTGCGGGAGGCAAGCCTGTTGAGCACACTGACTGAGAAATTAGCTTCAGCTGAAAAACTTGAGAGGTCATATGAAACAAGTCTTCGGCAACATGCCCAACTCTCTTCTCAGGACAAGAAATAGCCTGCAGCTGTACTGGACTTGAGGAAAAGCCACCATGTATCCCAAGTACTCAACGTTGCTGAAACTCAGATACCATGCTGGTTTTGCCCGCAGGGATGTATGATGACGGCAGTGCCAGCTTATTGCTATGTTCTTTTTCACACTTGCAGTAACGTGTCTCAGACCAAGTTATGAACAGCAAAGACTAGAGCAAGCCAAGAACAACGTCCTTCAAGCACAAATCGTAGTATGCCCCCCCTGGCCCCAAACCCATCCTGAAATCCAAGACCCTGAAGCCACTAACCCCTCTGCCAGCGACTCCAACCTCAACCCCTCTGTGGTGGCGCACGCTCAGCAGAGCCAGATCACTTTGCTCTGACGTCCGCTGTACTTTCTCCTGCTTACAGAGGTTCAGCTTCAGGTGAGTGGCTTAGCATGGGCAAGGAGAGTCAGAGCAAATCGCGGTTCACTTGGCGTTTCTGAGCTTGGCGAGGCTTGCACAGCTGCGAACGCAATCTTTTTTATACCCGAGACGCCGGTATGAGACTCATGAACTGGAAGGTGCATCCTAAAACTGTAAAACCATGCCTTACATATCGTATCCTATGCCCTAAGCCCTCAGCCCACGATATCCCTAGAACCCCCTTAAAGGAGCCTACGGGGAATCGAATCTATTCACTGTTCTAACTGTTTGTTCCACACTAACATTCTTAAGGTCTCGACTCCCCCCAAAGTCTTAAACCTTCAACCCCAAACCCTAAACCTCCAACCCTGCCTCCACATCCACCAAGCGCTCGGTGAGGGCTCGCGATGCTTCCCTTACATGTTCCCGGCTCTTGGAAGCCTCAGCGCAGAACAGGACTTCTTGGAGGCCCTGGAATTAACAACCCGATCTTTTGGTTTGCAAACGGTTTATGTGGGGGTTATATAGAGGCTTGTACTATATAAGGGGCTACATATATGAAGTATACAAGGCTTACGGTAGTTATAACCCAATACAAGGGACTTAGAAGGCTGTTTATGGGGTCACAAGGACAGTCTCTAAAAGTGTTCTAGCCCCACCTTTGGTTAGCTGAAGCGAAAATGGAAACTACTATAATGGGGTTATACAGGGACTACTATAAGGATCCATCCCTTCATTCCAAGACCCTAAACCCTAAACCCCTAAACCAAAGGTAAGTAATTAGCCTCAAGTTCAAAGTTAGCCTGCAAACGGATTGAAGGGGAGGTCATGAAGTTGGGCTTCCTAAGGGAGTACTTTAGGGTTTAGGGATGTATGGATTATGGGATAAGTTGTGGATTATTCACGTACGTTAGGGACTGTGTGTTGAGAGTAAAAATCCTGCATAACCTTCGTGCACTATAATACC